CAACTAATACAATAATAAATATGCAAATGTAATTCAATTGTATTAATGTAATTAACGCAGCACAAAAAAGAATAATAAATGTATCTGCACATGTAAAATTAATTAATTCATTCATTATCAAAATTAGATTTTTATTCATTTCACGAACTATATACTTTGCTCTTGCAACTTTTCCAAAAATTTAATATCAATGAAAATACAGATACTTAACAATGGCTTAAATTAAATGGATCTTTGATGAAACTGTAGATAATGTAACAACAATTTAAATAGGAAACAAATATTTGAGAAATAAAAAATCGTCATTTCATTTAGTTCGCTTTGATTTACATAAACGACGAGAAAGTTACAAATGCAGCATCAGTCCGAGCATTGATTATTCAAATGTCCATGGATGTTCGAGAATAAGAAAAAGGAGAACGACTACGAGGACAGCCAGTGTCCACTTAGTGCTCGCTACCATGAATTTAGTCGGGACGAATATTGGCGCGCTACTTGGGTGACCAGTGCCAACGAAACTTCAAGTACCCGCGTTATTTAAGGGGATACGAGATACGTACATTCGAGTTCTATCGTCGACCACTAGAGATTCCATCCGCCATAAAACGGAGAAAAGTGGAAACTTCCCTTTCGAGAGAAGGAGAGAGCGAGGAGATATTGCAGAGGTCTAAAGCCGCCCCGTTCTTCCTTTTTTTTCCTTCCTCACTTCAGTGTTCTGCACCCCTTTTCTTTTTTTTTTCTTTTTTTTTTTACTTAAGGTCGGAACTAGCGCGTCCGGATTCCGGCGCGGTCGGTAGAAAATTTCGAGTTTACCCCCGAATTTCTTGTTGATCTTTCATCTCCCGGTTCTCGGGAGCGGCGAGTTATCGGAAATTCAGTGAAGTAAAAAGTTACTAGATTCGTGCGATAAATCTAGTTATTCGATCGCCAAGTGGTTCTCGCTAGATAAGAATAAAGTTTCGTAGGAATACGCCAGAACTGCCGTTGACCCGACATATAGAACTTCGATTTAGGCACGTTCGCGTAATCAGCTGCCTAATGAGCCGAATCTAGAACTACAGGCTGTTTCCATAATGGCGGATCTTCGACCAGGCACGTCCGAAGGATCATAAATCACAAACCATTTTCGAGGAGGGGCAGAACTAGCGAATTTAGATATTTTCTTGCCGGCACAAATTCTTGTTCGATCCGGAATACCGAGATATATGGATCGTTCGTCGATAAAAGTTTAGAGGAAATTTCTACAGAATTTTTAGTCGCTGTAATACCGTCGCTATTGCACTGGTGTGTGCTCGATACTTGAAAGTAGTTACTTACTTTTATTGCCGCGCGTAAACTGACACGTAATTTCTGCAAGCGCAGCTCTCGAAAATGTCGAACTTTAAACATATCGGTTATATGTGAAATTGCGACTATAATACGCTGGTAAATAGCCTTCTCAAGACTGTGCAAGTCTTGCAATCACGTTAGGGTCAGGAACGTATTAAGACTTTAAATGTGTACGACGCATGAATCGACCACTTAAAATGGAAACGCCGGGAAAGTCATGCCTGAGGGTTTAAATTGGAACATTGTACATTCAGTGGAATCAAATCAGTTTGAATCGGTATAGCCCAATTTCGAGAAGGAATATTTCGATTAAGAATTTGCAAAGAAAAAATAAAACCAGTGTTAGAAACCGTGTTGGATAATTTTGAAAATTATAATTTTTCAAAAGTTTTTGTTGCATTTCTGCATGGAAATATATATTCTGATATTCATATCATAATCTTCTCATCTGAAATTAAGATAAAGCCTAAAACTTTATCAATTGTTTCGTCACTATAAAATCATATATACATATGTACATATATATAGCTCATATCCTTTTTACTTATATTTTTCTAAATTTAGTCTTTTAATGTACTAAAGCTTTCATTAATATAATGAAAAGTTTCTTAATTCAAGTATTTTTATAAGTACTAATAATTTTAGGATTTAAATTAATTAAAGAATATGTATGTATATATAAATACTTATGTATAAATACTTGTACATATCTAACAGTATACTATATATTATATAACATAATACAAATACATATAACAGCTTTATATTATCGACAATATTCATTCTATTCACATCCTGAATATTCGCATATGTCATCATATATGATATATATCATTTATCATATATTACATGTCATAAATTCAATATGATCAATTTCGATATAAATCGTATAGTTATTCTTTCGTCTAATATCATTCTATATCTGAATTCTGATCAACTTCAATTTTGCAATCTTTCTTTTCAGTCATTTTTTTTCTTCACAAAATTCTCGTACAGGAACCATCGTCATAGATCTACAACAGCTCTTCAATTTTTCAACTAGATATTCTTGATATACCGCTTCGAAACGCAATTCTTTTAACCGATCTCTGACATCTTGAATCTCGATATCTTCTTTCGCTTAAATCTCGAAAACTACGTCCACTGCGCAGACAAGTATCGACAGAAAAGCAGTGACAGCCTCTCGCGTCGCTTAAAATGCAATATAAAATTAATATTCTGCCGGAAGCAATTTATTACAGCTTTAAAGAAAGGATATGAGTTATAGATCCAGCAGCTTCTTAAAATACTACGTCATATATTTATACGCATATTTTTTACTATGATATATAATATAAATTATATATAAAATAATTAATACGATAATATAATATATTCGAAAATAATTTTTGTTCTCATTTTTCACAGATCGTTTATATGAAATTCACTTATCTCACTTATCCGAGAAAATTTTATTTTCCGATAATCTGACACAATTAATAAATAAAACATGAGAAATAGAGCGGGAATAAATTAATATTTTTAAAAGATTTAAATTTTCGATATTCAACCTGCGTGAAATTTATTTGTTCGTAATGTATAATGAAAAACTTTGCATGTTCTGAGTAAGATTATAAAACTGCAACAGTTAGACAAATAGATATATCCCTCTTTTGTATGAAAATATGATTTATCTGCATATTTATTTGATATATAAAGTGCTTGCTAACTTAAAAATTTTGTAAAACTGTCACAGTATAATGTATAATGTATAATATAATTGTTAGGCAGAACTATTTTAAATAGAATAAGATAGCATAAGGTACATAAGATGTTTAAAAGTGCATTGATATAATATTTACACATATTTATTGTAATAATTGCGAAACGATATTTTCGTATAAATTTGGTATTCAAGCTTCTTTTTGATAAAAATAATAGTATCAGAACAACAGAAATTAATAAATTTATCAAATTAGAAAAATCGCATATAAAAGTTTTTAAATTATTTAAAATATAGTAAAATAAAATCGATTTAGTAAAATAGTATATATATTTTACAACTTTGGAATAAAATATACTAAATGACCACAATATTACAATGACAGGGACATTTTTACTCGTTTATATCATCTTATATCATTTATATCGTTTATATCATTTATAATTTTTATCTTTTAATCCGCGAAATGATCGGCGATCAAAGAGAACAAAACCATTAAAAGTTCACAATTTCGCAAGCGCTAGAGGCGCAGATACTTTTCAATCCTTTTGTTTTTTACGAAATAAGCATTTCTAGAACAAACAAAATTTTTTTAAAGCCGACCATATATATATTATATTATATTATTTATATATATATATATATATATATATATATATATATATATTTAGACGGCAGCAACGGGCAAGTTGTGCCGACATTCCGGAGATACTGAGAATAACGTTCGCCAAGCAATAAAGAGATAATGCCGAGCTTTGAGAAAAGAAGAGAACGTCCCTCGGTAAGTTCTTAACGGGACGTTCTGCCGTTCTGAGAGAACCTTCTATCTCCGAACGAGGCAATTACAGGCCGTGGTTTACCGGTCGCGTTTACACCCGTAGCCTGCCTCCACCGTATAGGCTAAGCTCCACGGTACGATCGTAAACTTAGCTGACGGGGTTCAACCTCTTTGGCATTGGCGTTCGATATCTCGAGCAGCTCGGGCGTCCTGCTTCGACCACGTCGTGAAACCCGGTCGACCTCTTTCATAGTATCAGTAAAAGTAATGCCGAGAGACGAGTGGGGAGGCAAAGGATACGTGAGAGATCTATCGCGCGCGTCGGGGGAAGTAGATACTTTCAATAATGGCTTTTCCAAGGCCCCACATGCGTGTTGTTTCTTATATTGCGCTATCGGGATCATATACGATCACCGCTGGATGTCGCAAACGGAATAATCATTTCGCCGCTCGCTGATCGTTTTTTGATGAATACGCCTCCGTATGCGCCGCTTCGATGCTACTCATTCTTTATGCGCCAATCATGATTACAAGCGAACGGGACTTATGCATCAAGCGGCACGATTGTGCCGCGTATTGATTGATAATAAAATAAACGCGACAAAATGGAGCACGGCGATATTTCCTTAATTAAGGAATCATTTTGCTTGTCATAATTTATAGCAATAAAACATTATTTTACTAATGTCTGATGCGTAATGAATTAAGCGCAAGAACTGACGAAAATTGGTACGCCAACGTTAAATTAAAATAGGTTGTGATATAGCGAGCGTTATATATGTACATAAAGTAAACTTGTTAAACTTCCACACAATTTCGAATTTTATTCGCTAAGAGTAATTAATCTCCTGGCATGAACAAAATCAAAACATGGACAGCCTAGTAAATATAATTTAAAAATTCGCAATACAAAACTCGTTAGCTCATACTATAATTGAATTCTCACGATAAATATTTTTAAACCATTTCATATTTTTCCGATGCAATATGCAAGAATCCTGTACAAGTAATCATTTACCAGCAGATTCCATTATGAGTTTTTATTGTGAGTCAAGAAAGACAATTTTTCATATTCAGGAATTTGTCGTAGCTGCAATTATTAACGCTTGACTCGATTTACTTATATTTCGATATATCGATATGTTCTATAAATTAAGAGAAATTAAGATGTGTCATTTTTTTGTATCACAGCGAACGCAAAGCCGCTGACCTTCGATGAAGTTTACAATCAAAGTAGTCCGACCAACTGCACGGTATACTGCGGCGGATTGACCAATGGTTTAACAGAAGAACTCATGCAAAAGACGTTCTCGCCTTTCGGATCCATCCAAGAAATTCGAGTATTTAAGGATAAAGGCTATGCATTCATCAGGTAACTATACATTTTAATAAATTAAATTAATATACATGTATTCGCACACATTAATATACATATATCAAATTTGCCCATCATTGTTTAATAAAAATAATCGTCTTTTCAACAAATGTTTCTTAAATAAAATTTATATCTGTTATTAAATTTTAGATAAAAATATAAAAGAAGAAGAAATATTTTTTCTTTTAGCATAATAGTGTTATACTACAAATCTGTGAAATCTCAAAATACAATTTCATCTCGCAGTTTTCATTATATGTAAAAATAGAAATGTATATATATATATGTAAAAATAAGTTTTAAATTTTGAAATCCCTGAAGATTATCAACGACATTGTTGAAACGTAGGGCAGATACATAGATGTATGTCGTGAACAGTAGCTTTTCAAATTGTCAATGTAATCTGAAAGGGGAAATTCCCTAAGGCAACTATAGATTACTGACATTCCGAATCAGAGATTGTCGTTTACTATTTCGTGAATGTAGAATGCACTTTGGAATTGACTTACGAAAACTTAATTCAAACAATTTCCATGTATATATAATGTGTGCTCACATACGTGTATATATATATATATATATATATATATATATATAATATATATATTTATAAAAAATAGTAAATGTGTTCGTAAGTGTATGATGTTAAATATGTGTAATTCTTAACTTTTTATTTCAATAATAATTTTTTCATATAAAATGAAGATAATTTACTATGTTTATTATGTTTTATTATGTTTTTTATTATGTTTTTTTATTATGTTTATTATGTTTTTTTATTTATGTTTTTTATTTTATGATAGCATTAACTATGAAATAAAAAAAATGGGCTACAATGTTTATATATATATATATATATATATATATATATATATATATATATATATATAATAGACGTTATTATGTTAATGGAGTGTATTGTATCTATTAATACATCATATTGCCATCATGCACTAATTATTTCGCTACATTGCGATTTTTACAATGGGATTACTGAAAGTAGTAACCGCTCTAATTATTTTCCTTTTGCTTTATTATAAAATTAGCATATTCTATTGATATTGTATTGATTAGTGAATACATCTTGTGCGATTCACATGACATTTTACAAAGAAAAATTGGAGTATTAAAAATAACTGACTATATTTATAGTTGGCTTAAATCGTTAAAGAGCATTATTTATTTCTAAAATACAAAATAAAAATATTCTTAAACTACTAAATTATTCACGTTTTATACTTTAGATTCTTCTTTCTAAAAAATATTTATTTAAAATAATTTTAAACATTTCTATCTTCTAATTTATATATAAAAAGTGTTATACGTATTGTGTCTATCATATTAATCTATTACAAATTTTTTTATATAAAATTTCACGAATTATCACTCTTCATTTTAATAAATTGACGTAATTGAAAGCCGTTTTATTCAATCGTTTAAATTACAAAATGATTTATCGAGATTACTAGATTCCACAAAGAATATTTAAAGCTAATTCTTTTAATGTGAAGAATTAAATGAAACTTTAGTATGAAGCTTTGAAACCATCTCACTGATTATACAATCAAAGTTCGTTAATTACTCAAGCTTTTTGCTGCCTTATAAAAAACGAAAATATAGAATAAAAACTTAATATTGCGATACGTTGTGGTAAATTTAATCGAACTTTTATTTAAGTATTCCTTGACGATGTCATAATAATAACTTTATAATTTTTCCTTTATTCCCTGAAGTGCTCAAATACTCAATCCATTCGCGTACTGAACATAATAAAATTTTCCAGAATATTGGACGAAGTAGTACGTAATCATCTCTAATCAATTTCCAGAAATAAATGTATATTTTTATAAGATATCTACCTCTCTCTCTCTCTCTTGAATAAAAAAAAAATGATAATATTGAGATCAAATATAATTTTATCGAAAAGTATTATAACAATCAATCAAGAAAAGTTATAGATATTATCTTTCAAATAAATTTATTATTTGTATTGTTTGTCAAAGTTATACGTTAGATTAATATGATATGCTTACATAAATGATTGTCTAAATAAATTTATCATAGAATCAAACAACTTTACTCAAGAACAAATCAATGTATATATGTATATAAAGAGAGAGGGAGATAGATTTGCATAAAGCGATTGGATTTTGAGTGTGCAATCTGGTTGATTATAGTGAAACTTGAGGAAATTTTCAAAATCATATACGATGATTGGTGCCAGCGTAATGCGAATCATCAAACGAGATTTTACGAAATATTAGGAAATCGCATGAATAGTGCATCAATACCCACCGTCGCCTGTGATTTATGGCACGAAACGCGAGAACATGTCGGGTCAATGGCAGCATGTCGGACTCATCAAGCTCGGATCGTGGCCATTTCATTAATCTACCCATTACATCCACGCAGATCATATATTTCAGTTCAACTCCACGTATTCGACAAGATTAGTTATGTTTGTTTGAAAAAACATTAATAAAGAATTGTTAAATTCGAAATAAAAATAATATTTAATGACATATATGTCATGTGACATAAAGAGAGAGAGAGAGAGAGAGAGAGAGAGAGAGAGAGAGAGAGAGAGATTTGCACCTAGATAAAAAGGAATTCTCACAATTTGAAAAGTAATTACAAATTTCACTATCGTGGTCGTGTCGATATCTTCAAACTGGAAAGAAAAATCTAACAATTTAAGAAATCAGCTGAGCATTTATATCTCCCGAAAGCGAATTCAGCGCTCTACCTTAACGATGGCTAGGGATCCGTGACCTACCTTAGAAAAGACTGCCGAGAGCGTGGGAGGGTTGCTCTAGAAGGAACGATAAGAGGGAGGAGAAGGAAAAAGCCTAGAGGGAAACAGGGACGGAAGAAGGAGACAAAAAATCCTTTCTTATATACGTATATGTTTCCCTCCTCTTCCCTACTTCTTATCCTTTCTCGCGCACGTTGCTCGATATCATTCTTGCCCGTTCTGAGCCAATAGGATAGCCTCCACCCGCTTCGTACATCCGCCACAGTTCCGCCACCCCTAGACAATGTCCGTCGTTCAGATATCTTTCGTCTAATTGCTCTTCCTCCCTCCGTTATTCTGTAGCGTGGAACCCCGGAAACGAATATCTCGGGATGACGTATGGACTTACTGCAAGGTACAACGAGGAAGCAAGACGGGAAAGTGGATAAGGGTAGGAGGTCTTTTCTTCTCCTGTGAAAGAAAGAATCTTATCTGCTGCTGGTTATCGCTCGAGGTTCGGTCTTAGAGGGAGGAGGGAGGAGGGAAGGGGTTGCTGACGATGACCATCGTTCGTCCTACTCAACGATCGTGGATGGAAGCTCGATAGATGGAAAGGGGCAAACTCCTGGACAGGCCATTGTGCAATCTTGAACGCGAACGTTAAAAGTGACCTAATCCTCGATAAATTCAATAATTCTCTGTCACGCTCGTGTACCTTGCCGAATTCGTCGTGCTCCAATCACGTTCTTAAAAACGCGCGTTCTCGTCTTTTTTCTAAGACGAAATCGATTATTTACCGCAAAGTGACAAATCTCATATATTGAAATAAGTGGCAAATTTCGTATATTTGAATAATTTGAAAAACGCTATATATAAAATTAGATATATTCTTATATTTAAATATTCATGTAACAGAAACAAAATAATATCTGAAGCGATAAAAGATATAATATAAATATCATCAGACAAAAATGCTTGAAATATTTATTTTTTCGCTTTCATTTCTTAATTTTTTTATGCTGTCAAAGGAGCAAAACATCAAGATATAATTTATCTATATCACTTATATTGCATTGACGGTAACATTTATTTATCTAAAAAAATATATACTAAAAATGAAACCCGCATAACCGGTGTGTAGAATTTAACATTGAATGCTTGCATCTACAATCAAGATTCGTCGAGATTCACAATTACCGTGCTCATTCGTGCGCGCAGTAAATTCGCATAAATTAAATTGCACTATTCGCAGAGGCCATTTCGTTAAGCTACCATAATAAGGTCCAGTTTAACTCGTGGAAAGAGTACCTCATTGCTTCAGGGATTTTTCTTTTTGTACACACCATCGCGCCGTACCAACACCAACATCAACGTTGAAAAAGACATAAAAGTACTAACAAAAGACTTAAATTCCCTTCTTCTTCGATTTCAGGTTTTCTACCAAGGAATCGGCCACGCACGCCATCGTAGCGGTACACAATACAGATATCAACGGCCAAACAGTGAAGTGCAGTTGGGGCAAGGAAAGTGGAGATCCTAATAATGCTCAACAAACTGGACAGGTAAACTCTCTCTTTATCTTTTACTTTTATCCTCTCTATCGGAAGGACAGTTTCGACGTGAATTCTGTCCTCTGTGTTTTCCAACATTTACATCGCCGCTCGTATCAAATCAGAGAACTCTTCTACCTTCTTTCATGAATAAACATTGCCGCTGATTTTCTTTCCGATATAATGCATGAGAAGAAAAACAGCGACCTTACGCGCATCAGTGAATATAAGTCACAAACGTCTGTATTGTAGAGAGAATTATGTGAAAGAGAATAATATATACTGACATTAATATCTCAAATTTAATCTCTCTAATATCTACATACACGTCAAAGCGATGTAACATGACAGAATTCTCGATATACATATAAAAGCTTGTCGTTGTTATATGTTTTACTGAAACTAAAGCGTACAGTCGCGTTTCTAAGAAGTGAGAACGTTCAAAGAAAGTAGTTACTAAATTCGATTACTTCCCGGTTCCTTCCGGTCTCGTGCGACTAAAGTATCTCTATCGATATATCGGTATATGGCTCGAAAGTCCGGCGAAAGAATAAAGAAAAGAGAAAAAAGAGAGAAAAAGAAAGGCAGAGAAAGAAAGAGAGAGAGAGAGAGAGAGAGAAAGAGAGAGAGAGAGAGGGACGAAAGAAGGAAGAACAGACAGAGAATCGTGCAAGATTCCGGTCTATTCAGGTGCCTCTCTTCGAAGTGTGTCGGGCCGGGTCTCTTAGCAATTAGCTCCGTTAGGACGGGTAGCTACGCCCGATCTGGGAATGGTACCCGAAGTACTTCCCAAACCCTCTCGCACTCCCCGGTAGTACTTCCGTGCATCCATCCACTGCTACTCGGCCCGTGACATCGCTCTAATTGATCTCTATTCCCATAACGCGCTTCTCCCAGGGGAGCCGAGATATCACGTTAGTACGTATCCTGCCATACTCTGTTCTCGTATTCAACGGAATCAAACTGGTTTGCGTGATATCCGAGTTCATCGTGCCGCTTTAACGAACAGCATAATGGCCGCACATTATTTCCACAAATCCCATTGAAAATGCTAATCATTAAACAGCCGATACATATATAAATATCCCGTTTACAACATCATCCTTTTAATATCGCTTTCAAGGTTGAGAATTTCTCGAGCTTTATCGGAAAATACAAACAAAGTCATTTTCTCTTGTATCATAGAGAGATTAATTACATATAAAGTAAAGCATTAAATATTTAATTAAAAATACATATCATCCCAAATTATCTTAAGATAATTCAGCAAGATACAATTTAATTTCATTTATATATATATATATATATATATATATATATCATAAAAGAACGCGAATAAATTCGCGGGAGATGCAACGAAATAATAAGAAATAATTTACGCGATGGCGATGAAATGATCGCGTTGAGATTCACGCGTCGCCCATTTTAAACAAACGACCATACAAATCTTCGACGGAACGAAATTACCATTCCTGACCCTATCGACATCGTTAAGCATAAAATCCAGACAATGTTCTTGCTCTTTTCTATTTCATTGATCCTTGTGCTCTTTCAGGCGTTATCGTCGGCGACGTACCCATACTACGCGGCGGCGGCAGCTGCCGCCGCGGCGGCGGCGGGCGTCGCGGGTGTCGGAGGCGTCGGTGGCGTTGGCAATGCTGGACAACTGGGATACTGGTATCCACCCCAATCTTATCCTACGACAGCGACACAAATGCAAGCCGGTGGCTTCCTTCAGGGCATGCAAGGATACACCTACGGCCAGTTCGCCGGATATCAACAGGCGCAATATATGGGGTAAGCTTTTCACACGAGATAAGTTCTTCTTTTCCCCAAGTTTTGCACGAGGAAGTTTTGAATAATCGAAGATTCAAGTCTAATATAAATATATCATCTCGCCCTCATCTTTTTGCGACGTCTTGTCTCGAGGTGCAATGGATTATGAAACAATTTCACATCGAGCTAACTTTGAAATTCAGCAATTTATCATTTTTGTATATATTTATAACTAAGAAATTATAGAATATTAGAATCCGTAAGAGGTGCGTTTTAATTCATATTTAATGATTATCAGACACCAATATTAATCAAATTAATCAAACATAGCCATAACACAAAAATATAATATGCTTAGATAATTTTATAATATTTTTTATATTTTTTGTAAATATTCATAACTAAAAAATTATAAATATTAGAATCCGTAAGATGCGTGTTTTAATTCATAATGAATTTAAATTATCAGACACAATTATACATATTAATAAAATTAATCAAACATAGCCATAACACAAAAATATAATATGCTTAGATAATTTTTCATCAAACTTATCAATTATTCACAACAAAAATATTAACAATAGAACAATATATTATAATTTACGATACGAATATAAATTACATATATATCAGACAGAAAATGAATCGTAATCCATTTATCCACTTCTTTGTGAAATTGTATTTGACAATTACGTATGTCTTACAAACGTAGAATGGGCATGGGTGCTGTCCACGCTGCTGGCACAGCAGCAGGATGGGGTCAGGGATTACCTGGGGGACCACAGTTACCACCACACCACGCCACGACGGTCACGGCACCCCCAGGGGTGCAAGCCGCACCCCCGCCACCACCGCCTCCGGCACAAATGATGGCCTACCCGATGCAACAGTTCCAGGTAACCATTACTTTATCTGTCCCATCTGTATACGCGTGCAAGTGTGCATCGTACTTGTATGTGTGATGTTGAATAGGAGTGTTTCGCTTTTTACATACTTTTGCATCTTGTCCTCTGTTCAAAGCAATTCTGTTGGTGCCGGTATTGGCTTGTAAATGTTGCACGTGAAAACTCGATTCGATATCAAAAGAATATCGAAGGCATGTGTCGGCAGAAGAGTGCGCGTAGCATATACGTATATATTGTCGGTGATCTTAGGAAACCTCGTAAACTTGATACTGTATATCATTCGAGAGACCGAGCGATAGAACACGGTACGCTTCACGTGGAACAATTTTGCACGGACGAAACAGTAAACATAGCTACAGTATAACACGTATGATATAATTAGCTACACACATATATTCGGTATAATATTCCGGCTTGAGTTACGTTCATTACGAGGTTACAGGAGCAACGGCGATATGCTAATTTCAACAGTTTATACCAGCATTATTTACGATAGTAGTTATAAATATAATATATGCAAAAATGAAAATTTGCGTTTTCTCAAATTATACTGCAAAATAAAGATTATTTTCTCTGTCGTGACTAATAATAAACCGCTTTTCATACATTGCTATGTTATTGATTTTCAATGTTTCTGTCGCTAATTTAATCTAAAAAAATTACTCGTTTGCTATAAATAGAATAAGAGCTTATTTAATCATTAATAAAAAATAGTGCTGTGTATAAATGAAATATGGATTATCATTAAATGGATCTCATATACATACATATATATATATATATATATATATATATATATATATATATTATAAATGAATAGAACTGAGAAAAATAGAACACATTTACCTCACATTGCATTATTTATGCACATGCATATTATTTGAAATTATAATAACATTGATAAAACGGTAAGTACTTTTCTCTTACATTTAAACATAAGATATAACACTTTAGTAATCTCTACTGTGTGAGATTAATGTATATTTAGAAAAACGTATATTTAGTCGCGGCAAATGCATTTGTTTTATCATATAAAAACGCCTAATGACAGCCGCAATTATAGCGATTGTGTGGAGAATGTTTGTAGTAAGCATGCTAATAAATTCATACAAATAACAACGAGAAATATATATAATAAAAAAAATTATACAATATTTATTTCTATTATATCTTGAACCGAATTTCGAGAGATATTAATAGAAACTGAGAAAACAATGATTGCTTATTTTGTGTCAAGATATTTGTTTCAAAGGGAATGAAGTTGGTTTGATGTTATCCAATAGTAAATCATTCATGAGATATAATAATGTCATGTAATGCTATATAATCATATTAGTTCTATACATGTTTTATATATAATTTCTAATCTGTTGATAAGAGATTGCATTTCGTACTAGCAGAGCAATTTTTATTTTTCTTACACCAGACATTGATGGAGCAAGACAGACTCGTTTTCCCGCTCGACGAGGGGTTATAGGAGATTCTCGAGATTTAGATATGTTGCAAAAAATTTTGGTTCGTGGCAGTGAGGTGAAATATGATACTTATCGTAGTTGTTGTCCAGAAAAGTATACCTCGACCATTTTGCTTTCCGCACGAACTGCACACGTAAGAAAATGCGCACTGTACACAGGCACATACATACGCCACCGCTAAAAACGACATTGCTACAAAAAATGTGGAATATTTGAAAAGAGATCACAAGGATGGCTTCGGGCAAACGCAGCAAATGCATTTCAACTCAGCACCGCTTTTAATGCTCCGCGTTCTTTTTGCTTCAAGAACAATTTCTGAACTTGACAACTTGAGATCTGAAGATTGAGAATGACTATCTTAATTTAAAAGCTCGCTAAAAAATTCTAGTCTAAAATTTTTAAATTAATTCTGCTATTTCTTTATGTTTTTCTTGCTCTCATTTATTAAGTAAAAGGAAAACTTTTCAAAAATATTTTATGACTTTATGCTTATTAATAGTAGCATTTTTATTATGCAAAACCGTATATGTGCTCTCGGCGTTACATGCACATATTATATATTTTCATTTAAAATGTAAATTTGATAATTTTTTTGGTGGTTATTACGTACATTTTAAATGGTTGAATCAAACAATATAAACTTCTGTTACTTAGAAATTCTGGCTTATTATTACATGATTATATAAACACAATGTATTTCTCAATTTATAAGATTAAAAAATAAGTTGGAGCAAGGTTAAAAGATTCTGTTAGAGAAAATACACAGTTTTTGGGAATAAGAAAATAAATTTTCAAGAGCATTAAGTTGAAATAATGAATTAGTGAACGAATATATATATATATATATATATATATATATATATATATATGTATGTATCTGATTTAAAATCCGATTCGTGTTCACCAATTCCATTCATTCGCCTTTTAATCTGCCACACATTCAACTTGTCTTAATCTAATGATTTGTAAAAATCTTTTTAATTATTAATAATGTTGAAAATTTAATAAACATTATAAAACATGTTATAATATACATATTGTTAATTTAGAACATCCAGACATTTCTGGCTACTAAATTAGCAAAATATATATTCATCTTTCCTTGGAAAAGTATCTATATAAAAATGTACTGTAAACATTTTTCCACACATGCACAGCATTTTTTAATAATTTCAAAACTACTGATATATTTAATAAAAGCGCATGAAAAATCTTTAGATAACTTTTATCAACAATATGACTACAAACAATTCGAGATAACGTAACATATTACAAATTCTGTATCGATTTCGGCTTTCAGTCATTAATCTGCAGCTGTTTGCAGTGCGTAAAACGGCCTGTCGCCCGTATGTGCTTAAGAAGATATATACATTTCACGTAGCTATAGTCACTTTAGTGAGTCTTTTGTACATATCGCACATAGCAAAGTAAAAGTCACGTACGATTGCTCATCGATCGCATCGAAAGAGATATTTCGGTAAGAAAAGTTAGCTCGCTCTTTCGCACAAATATCTCTTTCCGAAAAACCGAGCTCGCATTATATCACTGCATGTCAAGCGAAATATCACTTTGAAACTTGCTTGAAAGCTAGCCATCGAAATAATCCTCAATTGAACACGAATTCTTAGTGATAGTAGCGATAAAACAATGAAAAAGAGATGAAACATTGAAAATATATCGCCAACAGCATAAATTGTACAGTTGACTTTCCGTTTATTTTATAATATTTATAATATCCTTTTGTCGCAAGAAAGTTACAAAGTTATACGCGTTTGATCATAATAGAACCTAAAGAGAGAACAAATTTACATGGATGCTTGCAATTTGTAGTCATGAGCTAAAGGCTTCGAAGTTACGAATATGCAAATATTTCCATGTAAATTTGTTCGTCGTGCATTAGACTGTAATGTATATCTGATAATACAAAATATGTATCAATAAATAGAAAATGATTTTCTATTTATAAGAAAGAATATGTTACGAAATTGAGAAGAATATTAAATTCAAGGACAGAGAAGAGAGAGAAAATAATTAATATTAAATAGATGTCACATAAATATAATATGAAAAGCTAGTCGTTTACTCTGCATAGATCTTGACCTGCATGAATATAGTATGCAACATGCATGTATTATGCTTCTTGCACTTTATCTAATTCAACTCGAGTATCCCTCTAAAATGCTTTTATTTTCTTGTTTCTCTTATTTCTGTAAAGTGATATTGATGTTAGACTTCATACTATCAGTTTATGCAAATATCACAATCTTTTAGCAATCTCGACAAATTGCTTAACTAATTTGAAATTATACAAATTTGACAAATGTTTTATAAAAATTGTATTAATCGGAATAAACTTAATTACGAGTATGTACATGTGACTTTAATTTATCTTTTTTTTAATTCGTTCTTATAAATATTATTTAAAATCGAACATCATATTATTGATGTAATCGATTAGCTTTTACATTAACCAGGAAGGGATACTCGAAGTTATCAAAAAAATTGTTTTTATGTACATATTTCGATTCGCAGGCACAGTGATCGCTACCACTATCATCGCACGGCCTGGCTTATCCTTTCTTTCGAATATCAATTAGCATCAGGATAACTGCATCTACAACCTGGCTCAACCTCGTATTCAACCTGAAAATACTTGCTGCAGCATATTTTTATGCAAAAGGATAATATTTTCTACCACACGAAAAGGATTGGAAGAAATGATGTAAGAGATGAAAGCGAAATAAGGAAGGATATTCATCTATTTTATCGGCGTAATAATCCGTGATATTTTATCGCAGATCTTGTAGTAACATAAACTCGATTTATCTGATAAAGAAAAATTTACTTTAGTGATTATATCAGAAAAACTCCTAATTTTTCTTAAACAGCCTAATTTTGCGTTCACTTCGCCGTCGTTAATGCGTTCTAAATAATACAAACAGAATGGTATACTATAACTATTTACATTACTATCCAGATTTTTTACATTCTTACTACTGCACCACGTGGTGGAGGTTGAGTCATGGTGAAGGTAGATTCAGATCGATTAGAATTTAGTAGTAGAAGAATGTGAGAAACTGTAACACATGAAAGCAAAAGTGAAGAATGATGGAGAAGCGAAAGATTGAATGAATGGGAGAGAGAAAGGGAGCAAACGATAGAGAGCACACAGACGAGCGCGAAGACGAGTGAAAGAGAGGGAGAGAGAGAACTATATTGTCGAGCATATTTCTATTACTTTCTTGAAATTCGGACCAAGACTTAACCAGCGTTTGTGTGTTCAAATGGTAAAGTGTGTTCTTGGTTGCGGTCCAGCTAGCGGATGAGGACTGGCTGACGCCTAGCCTTCTAGTGTGATGGTAAGCAAGTATACTCCACCAACAGGAACAACTTCTACAGCAACAACAGTTACCACCACCATCACCACCATCACTTCCTCCTCCACTACTACTACCACCACGATCACCAACAACAACAACATTTCCGTCATCATCGACGCGACCGCGACAGCAAAAGTAGTAAAGCTCATGCCACTTCTGGCTTGACAATTCGCGAGTCGAAAGGCGGCAATCACGAAAACCAGATAACACTCGCTTAGTAAAAACAAAGAAGTAAAGTGAGAAATAAAAAAAAAAGATAGTAAATAAGAATCATAATCCTAGGTAACCTTGCGCAAGATGCATCCGACATCCCTATCTCCCCATAAGTTTTCACGTCCAATATAAGAGAAAAAGCCGCTACCGATTATTAAGCGGAGATACCTCTCGTCCAGTCTGTAGGATAATATAGTATCTCGCTCGGCTTGAAGAAATAGATAGCATTTGTCGTTACAGTAGTGACTGAAGCTTCAATACAGAACACGAAATCCGGCAGTACACGTGAATAGGCCATTCGTGATGGTTTGACAATGTTTTTTTAGCAAAAAATTGGCCAATTACGCATACTATTGTATCATTCAGCGAGGGATATTCACGTTTAACGGGATCATGATACCCGGTTTATGACCACTTTAACAATGCGTATAAATTCCTTGATCCTATGGAAAAAAAATAGAAGAGCGACGATAGACCCTCGGATTCTAACTCGTTACCCGGATTCGTTATTTTTGTAGTTTGGGCTTAACAGCGAAAAATACTAACTCAAAAACGAAGTAATGTCGAAGGGATGCTCGTAACCGATTGCGGCAGCCACGATGTATAAATGGTAAATACAAAGATCGATTAATCGAAAGAAAGGAACACTCGTGAAGATATAAATATATAAATATACATATATATATAAATGAAAAAAAAATATATATATATACATAAAAGAATAAAAATTATTATAAACGAAATTCAACAATTAGCTAGTTAGATAGGTATATTATATTAAAAGTTACTCGAAACCGATTCGAAATTCGGCGACAACGGGAAGATGGATCTTATGTATATTCGATAGCACAGCGTTTCTATGGGGGATAAAATAATCAACCCCTTTGTAAAATTCTTATCCCGTCTCGAAAACCACGGAACTACTATCGGATCCACGTGTCTTATTCCATTTTCCACATTGCGAAGACTTCGTACCTCGGTTAATACACTTACTTATCAAATTCGTGGCCGAACGATAATTCACGCGTGAAATCTTCGCAAGCAGTTAAACATTCGCTTTTATCATTCGAGTCTGTCTTTCGGACACGCATTTAGGCTAGTTGGATACTTTTATAAAACAATCAGTACCGTGGTACGACGTGGGAGATGCCGACAAATTTAGCACATTCCGAACTGAGAAAGTGATGGAACGCGCGAAACACCGATCAGGATCGCCGTGGTTTTTAAGTAAATGTTAGATTTTTATATAAGATGTGACTATGTAGAACCAAAGCAAATCGAGACTCTATATGACGTTTAAGCAATAAAACGTTAAGCTTAGGAAGAAAGAAGGCATCCATTGATCCGTCTCTTTGTAAATCAATCTCGACTGCGTAAACGAGAAACACACGAATTCTCAACAACGAAAAAAAATAATAATAAACAAACAAAATAGTTAGAAGAGACGGTGCGTGCATGCGTATATTTTAATTGTTCCAGAAGCAGTAAAACGATCACAATCTCCCCGATGTCCCGAATTTTGACTTGGCGAAATTGATACAAAAAGGCGAAACCGAGACTCATATAAGTCGTTAACGTGTAAGCAATTGCATGAGTGCAATCGTACATATGAAGGAATATTAGAAGGAGAAGAAAAGAAAGTATGAAAGTGAAAAAGAGAAAGAATGAGAGGGAGAGAAAGGACGAGTGACGAATAAACTGCACAGCACAAGCGAAAGACGTGAAAAAAAGAGATTAAATAATTCGTAGATAGATACATTGCACAAACAGCACGAAAGTTAGATTAGACAAATTAAGTTTTTTTTTGTCCATGCGTGCCCTGTCCGCGCGGCTATGTCTCTGATCATATGTAACCTCATCATCGACGCACTCTTCTACCGTTCAAAATCATCCGTTTACTGAAAACGGATCGTCCAGAAGAGCTGCGGATCAAAAAATGAGCAACGGCTGAAACTTATTGCTCCGTCTTTTTTATCTCTGTGCTCGATAGTTTATATCTTCATCGTCTTGCTTTTTGCTCCTACCACCTCCTTTCACTCCTTTGGTTTTAAGTATCGCAACTCATGCTCATCGCACCGATAATACTGTCGTCTCTGCTTTTTCTGAGACGGCGTTCATATCGGAGCAATAGGTAGAGAACCGAGTCAAATCTATAGGAAAACTAATGAACACTAAAGCTTCAAGTCCTTAATCATCAAAAATTTTTCAAAATGAGAATAATTTTTCAATGATTTTTTAAAAATATATTATATAAAAAATTTTTATGGTTATTCTTTATTATTACTATGCTCTAACAAATTATAAGCTTAAAATTAAAGCCGCGAAATGTCATCTGCTTTGCATAGAACATGTTTGAAATATGATATTCGATAAAACACTTCATTGTTTTTGTTTGTAGTGAAAGAGCTTTATTCTGCTCAAAAATATTATTAGTCGCGCTTTAAACAGCACAATAATGCCTCTTTCGAGTGAAACTTTTTCATGATGCCACATTCCATGGATACATAATCCATAATTTTACCTACACGAATAGATAGAAAAGATAAAAAAGAAGAGAGAAAGAGGCGAGGGATGCGATGATTAAGGGGCGAGAAAAGTGCGTCGATGATGACAGAAACAAGATAGGATGAACGAGATAGACGACTCTGTTATTAATCAAAAGATAGACGGATCGTGTTTTAAGCGAATCAAAAGCGTTCGACGTTTCTCAATCAAAAAGATCGATGATCAAAGTACGACACATGAATGCTCGAAACGCAGCAAAGAAAGTGAAGAGAGGACACAATCAAACCTGCCCAACATCGCGTAGAGTTTAGATGTTTTATGATGAAAGTAGAGAGAATGTCTATCAACGATCCGTCGCGATTGCGTCAATCAGCTAAAAGAGTGTGACTTTCCTTTTGGAAAGAAAGCTCGACAATAAAAACCGCCACATTTCTCAGAGAGAGAGAGCGATGATTTTTAATCGCGATGAATGATTCTGATACAATAATTCATATCATTCATGTTTAAAAAATAACGTTGCAATATTGGCTGGATTTTTGTCACCTTGCTTTCAATTGATTTGCAGCTTTGAAAGAAAATGTTTAGAGATAATTATATACAAATTACTACCATGAATTTTAATTTGTACATATTCGCACGAAAAATATCGAGAGATACTTTGCCAGATTTCTTTCTAATTTGTATCACTATATTAGAAATATGTTTATTCATATGTTCAATTACGTGCATAATTTTCTTACTGAATGCATTTAGCTTATTCTAAATTTTATTATGTCTTTATTTTAATGCAACATATAAATTATTATGCACGATCGCACGTAATGTAAGCGCGGCCACGATTATTTCTGCAGTTCTTGCATGTTAATAATAAAGTTTTATCATTTCTCTATTCAGTTCTCTCGTAATTTGCACTTTGAAAATAATTGTGTCTCTATATCTTTTTATAATCAAATGTCATTCTTTCGACACTAAGAATCAGTTATGTCTATAACAATCGTGTTTTATCATCAAATAACAATTGTTTAAAGAATTAAAAATTTTAGAGAGTATATATATATATACATATATCTAGAGATATACTACATTATATAATAAAATGCAAATTACAATCGCGATTTGCAAAACTTTTACATCATTTAAAATTATAGCTTAAAAGGGGAATCATCATGCTAATTGAATCTCGTTTTCTGATAGAAATTGGGTGACTAGCCTCGAGGACATGGCACGAGTATGCAAAGAAAAAGCAACAAAATTATAAATAAATATATATACATATATATAAATACAAAAATGTGTGTATATATATATATAATATACATATACGTATATATATATATATATATATATATATATATATATATATATACACACTTGTGTGCGCAGCGGCGGCGAGGGCTGTTATTTTCAATCGTTGTGCGTAAAATAAAGCACTGTGCGTGAGAAAGTTAGCTTTTAAGGGAAAAAAGCGATATGAGAAAACATATAAGTAAAAAGAAAATATCGTGTACATTATTAGTTAGGCGAAAGAAATAAAAATATAGGTTATTTTTGTGAAAGGTGGAACGAGCGAGGGGAGAGAGGGGGAACGAAGATCTCGAGTGGCAAGAGGGACCCAATAGCAGACTGTAATACGAATTATGCAATAAGAATCTGTTACCGCGTGCGTTTGCATCTGTCAATCAAATTCTGTACAGTAACGTATACCGGAAAGCGTTTAATCGACAAGAGGATAATTGGATCTGACACACTCTACTTTTACGTTCCTTACGTTCCGCCCAGTCACTCCCCTTATCAAATTGCTCGCTATGCATTCCGACTCGATTCCACCTTCGACAGAGAAAAAAAAAGTGACGGATCCTGCACTCTTTTAAAGAATCAGCGTGGACGCCCGATCCTGTAAAAAGTATTTGAAGAAAGGCGCCTTAACATTAAGGCGTGTATATTGACTTAATGTAGACCCGTGCGTTGTCTAGAACATATACCGAGTGAAGCTAGCCGATCGAGCGAGTCCTCATCGCGTTAAACGGGAAACCAAAATGTAGCATAAAATGATAGATAGATAATTATTAATGTAATCTGACTTAGTAGGCAAACAAAAATAGGGACAGTGGAATCGCGAACGGCAATGACGGACGGCGGGGAAATGTAAACCGGGGCGATACAAACTGTAAAAAAGGAGGCAAACTCGAGACGAAGGCTAGAGCGCAAAACTAGCAGGAGATTCACTTATGGTACCTAAAATCATGGACCCATCCAAAAAAAGAAACACGCGCGCGCGTACACGAGATGTAAAAATACATATACGCGTATGTAAATACACACAACACCAAATACACAAGATGCACACGGCATACGTGTAAAAGCGATGAGAAACTTAACAAAAAACCCTAGACGTAGTCTAGTCTAATCTAGCTTGTCGATCACTAGGTTAACGAGAAAAAGCGTTCATGAAAAATAGTGCAATAATTATCCGCAAATTATACTCAAAACCCTTATGCAGCACAAACGGCAGGACACGTGTATGTGCATACACTGACATAGAGACATATACATGTATACATGTACACATGCATAAATACATACAGAAACACGCGTGCTGCGGCTGCTGCCTCCATCCTTTGCCCGCGTCCTCAAGTCGCAGTTCTTAGATTCTATAACCCGGCAACGTATAAGACGGTATAATTCACACCATTTCGAGATTTTTACCATCGCGTCGTTTAAATTCCAACAAACGACTGTCCCTGACTATTTGACTTCTATCGAATCTTATTATAGCCTTCAGTATCAACGAAAATGTGTTCCTTTATTTTCTTCTTCATTTTTCGATTATATAACGATTCGATTATATTTCCCTTCCCCTATCTTAGCAATCCAAACAATTATATAATTTCAATTTTTTTCATCCACATGCCCCCTCCTTTAATGCTCTCTTATTTGTTTCCTTGACTGATGTCCTGATGCCACCGCACACGTTCCTCCGCCTGAACAGATTTATCTCGCGGAGACTTACCAAACGATAGTCGACAATCATTGAAGAAACATACATTTAGAAACTTGTACATGTTCTTTTCATTGAGGGCTATATAGGTATTAATTATTGTTACCGACATGTTTGCACAAGTCCCGTGCAGGCAATGGACAGAGGAGGTGGTGTCGGTCCTGGAGAAAGTAAGAGAGCAAGGTGTATCGATTACTATTCTATCGTGTTCGCAATGCTTTTGCCTCTCGCAAGTGTACTACAAAACGCGATTTTGATATCGATACGTAGGCATCGCGAATGGACACATGAAACATATCATCGAGCTAATCAACTGATCCCACCACTCCCAATAGAAACTGCAGTAAGGGACGTGGAATACAATTAATCAATTGGTGCTTCAAGTTATTTATAGCTGTATACTCGTTTCTTCTCTTTTCGCGATAGAACCGTGACGCTTAAAAACAAATCTTAACCGACGAATCGAAACGTCATCAAATTTATTGCATACTGCATTTATTTCGATCATTTCGAATCGCACATGTAGCGATATGACAATCTCTCTTTATAATTTATTTCGATGTAATTCGAATGTGATATCAAGTATTAGTATAGTATTTATGGGTTGTAGACTTAAATTTTAAGATGTCGCTTTAATTTCCATTCACGGGTATTAATCTTCGCACTTATAAATATTTGTGAACGACAAATTATTAAAGACAAGGCAGCAAGTTGTCCGAATTCTTTGCGTGTTGACTATCGATATGGGCATATCAAACGTATAGTTTTTTTAATCAATAATCTTATTAAACACATTATTGAAACAGAACTAATTTCAAATTCTTCTAAACTACTGTGTCCTTTATTAGGAAGAGACTAAATTTTAGATCGCGAATTGCAACTAAACACGCGAATATTTTCTTTCTAAGCGAAGTGCATTTAACTAAACTATTTATTTTAAGATGCCCCTCGAGAGAATCTAATATAATTCTTAGCAGGACGAGGGCAGCAGTCGGGCCAAATTGGGATACTTACCGATGCAAAGCACCGTGGAAACAGCTTAGTGTTAGTGCAAGAATGTTTAAAAGAAAAAGCAGTGAAAGAAAACAAAAGTAGGAGCCGTAAGCGTAGATACCGAATATAATATAAAATTTAAAAAAATGTATGTATATAATCATATATAAATATATATATATATATAAATATATATATATAAATATATATACATATATGTATAAATATATATATAAATATATATAAATATATATATAAATATATATATATAAATATATATATAAATATATATATATATATATATATATAAATATATATATATATATATATATATATATAATACAAGAAAGACTACAAACAGACACGCGCATCTATATATAATAAAGATATGTATATTATATATACATATGCATATATGTGTAAGAAGATAATATTAGCCAACAGATAGAAGCTATATCGAATATAAGCTTAACGAAGAGAAGAAAGGAGCGAACGAATGCGGGGCATCTATAAATGCGCGCGCCCCGCGACATACTGTGTTAAATACCTTTAGCTGTAAGAAATAAGAAAATACATTAAAGCGTACTTGTAAAAGAAAATAGATGTTGTGGCTAGCCTGCTGGACCCCCCGTGCCCCTAAAATAGACACGTCTAATATGTATGGAGCGAAAACGAGAGAAACGTAGTGAAAAAGAGAGAGAAAGAGAGGGTGC